CCAAAACTTCAGCGGCCAAGTATTCCATAACGGCCGCTAGATATACGGGAGCTCCGGCACCGACGCGTTCAGCATAATTCCCTTTTCGCAATAACCTGTGGATACGACCGACGGGAAATTGTAGGCCGGCCCTGCTGGATCGGGACTTTGCCTTTCCCTTAACTTTACCGCCTTTTCCGCGTCCTGACATATTCAATTTGTTAATCTGCTAAACGAACGACGTCGACTATGAACTTGCAAATGCACAACATGATCTCCGCGAACGTTGTATTTATATGAACTAACCGACCAATCGACGCGAACGTTTGCCGGCAAACGCCTGGGGGCGGAGTCTACGGTCGTAACGTCACCTGTCTTAAATACGGCCAGAGAATTGCAGTCGTTCCGTTGAGTTCCGAGCTAGCAGCCGTCACGAGCATACACTCGTGCGACTGCGACCCACCCGGACATACAGTGCGATCCTACTGTGATTTTCATCGCGGTACGATCGCCATCCACGATGGCGAGAATCGAAAAGCTGGCGAGCCAGCTTAAGGAGAAAGAGGAGAACTTCGAAATGCTCGCTGAGCAGATGAAAAATCTGCAAGCCGCATTCGAGAAGGCGAGGAATGATATCGATGAGGTGAAAAGGAAGCTCCTCAAAGCAAAGAGAAAAGCTAAGAAGACGGAGGAAGATGTAGAAGGAGAGGACCAGGGAGAGGAGGACCAGCAGCCTACGGAGAACTTGGACATGGATGCCCAAGATATCGACGTAGAAGAAGCGGAGAAGAGGACGGACGACACCGACTTCAGTGTCGCCACCAGACGGAGGAAGCGGGTGCGAGTTTCCTCCGAAGAAGAAGAAGAAGAACCCAGGCAGCGAAAGATGCCAGCTGCCACAAAGAAGAGTGGTCCTAGAGCAACCAGGACCACCGAGGCCCCCATGGCAGGAACAGGAGTTCCGCCAATCAACATCGAGGGCACCGCTGATTGGTCATCCTTGAGTAGGATGATGAACAGCAAGGGGATTCAATTCTCCAAAGCGAGGACGGCGGGTACCAGTGTGAAGGTATTCACAAATACACCAGCTGACTACCGTCAGCTAGTCGCACTGCTTGAATCCATCAAGCGGCCCTTCTTCACATATCAACTGAAGGAGGACAGGATGGACCAGAGGGTCATTCGTGGGCTTCCGAGAGAGATGTCAGTCAATGACATCAAAGAGGATCTGGTGAGCCAAGGCATCGCAGACGCCGTGGTTCAGCAGCTGACCTCAAGGACCACAAAGAAGCCACTTCCGCTCTTCCTCGTCAAGACGAAGATGCCGGAAAAGCTTGCAGAGATCCAGAGGCTGGCCATGCTCACGGTCAGCTTCGAGAGGAAGAAAAAGTCTTCCGAGCCCAGCCAGTGCTACCGCTGCCAGCGGTACGGGCACACACAGCGGAACTGCCGTCTCGCTGAACGGTGCGTTAAATGTGGAGAGGACCACAACAGCACCAGCTGCAGTCTGCCAGCGCCGCCAACAGGGCAACGAAACGCCAAGTGTTGCCTCTGTGGAGAAGGCCACCCCGCCAACTACAAGGGATGTAGTAAGGCGCCGAAGAAAGCTGCTTCTGCCCCCAAAGCAGTCCCCACCACAAATAGGACTTCTTACGCCCAAAAAGTGAAGAAGCCTATGTCCACTTCTGCCCCAGCAGCCGCCACTGCTACTGGAACTACTGCGCAGAAGCAACACGGCGATGACAGACTGCTAGCAATGATGCAAGCCATCATAACCCGCCTGGATGCACTCGAGGCCAAGATGCAAGACAAGCACTAGACCCGAAATGTCTACAGGTCAAAACGTAGAATCTCTACGCATTATCTCCTGGAACATCAACGGTTTCAGGGCACGGAAACCAGAAATCCAGGAGATACTAGACCAGTACCAACCAGAGGTGATGGCCATCCAAGAAACGAAGTTGGATGCTGCCCATAGTCTGACGTTCCCGCGGTACGAGACGTACCGCTACGACAGAAGGGGCAGAGGTGGAGGAGTCGCATTACTCGTCAAACGTACCTTGACGAGTCATGTCCTCGACGATGCCGCAGACATAAATGGGGACGGAATCACGGTCCAGGTCCATCACAACCACCGTCCCTACAGAATCACCTCCCTATATGTGCCACCAGGGGAGGCCCTAGACGAAGATGACATCGCGGACCTCCTGAGAGGCCCAGGAGCACGCATAGTCATCGGAGATCTAAACTGCAAGTCTCCGGCTTGGAACAACAACGTCGAAGACAGGAATGCAAGGCAGCTCCAGGAACACGTCGATGCCCTGGCGGGGGTCATCGTCGGTCCGGAGCAACCAACCTACATTCCATTCGGCCTTGGGCGACCTGCGGTACTGGACATAGCCATCCTCCGCAACATCAGAGAGGAGTTCGAGATAGAGACCCTGGTGGAAGGATCGTCGGACCACAATCCGATTCTACTAACACTTGGTACAGGGTCTAGAACTCGAGATAGCTTGAGCACCAAACGGACGAACTGGAACCTTTACAAATCCAACGTCCAGAGGAACATCACTCAAATTCCAACCATCCGATCAGCGGAGGAACTGGACAACGCAGTAGAGGAGCTGGAGAATGCTGTCCTGCGAGCGCACGAGGACAGCACCCGCTCCGAGACTACGGCAGTTCCTAGATACCTAAATGGTCCAGCACCGCACCATATTAGGCACCTGATCAGGGAGAACAGAAGACTCAAGCGAGAACATCTCCAGCTGTTGACAGAGGAGTCGAGAGTTGCGCGAAACAGAGCATCGTTAGCTCTGAAGAACGCACTCGCGGAACTCCAAAACAACAGATGGAATGCAGCCTGTGCAGAACTAGAGACCCAGGATGGTACGGCCTGGTCTATGCAGCGAAAATTTCGTCGTCAGCGCACCACGATCCCCACTCTTCACGGCCAACGCGGCTTGGCCTACTCCAGTGAAGAAAAAGCCGAAGCATTCGCCGATTCGCTAGAATCCGAATGCAGACTCAATTACCATGAAGACGAGGACGACAACCACGAGGAGGCCGTGGAAGTCGCAGCCGAAAACATGAGGAGTCGACCACCTGGCCAGGAGACGGATCACCCCTCCAGTCCAGAGGAAATCCGTCTGATCATCCGCAGGTTGAAGGTCAGAAAGGCGCCGGGAAGGGACGGCATCAACAATAGGATGCTGAAGAACCTTCCCACCAAAGGCATTGCTGCGCTCACCAACATCGCCAATGCCACTCTGAGACTTAACCACTTCCCGCGGCGGTGGCGGGAAGCCCAGGTTATAATGCTCACCAAGCCAGGCAAGGACCGGAAGTTGCCCCAGAACTACCGGCCCATCAGCCTGGTTTCCTCGGTGGGCAAAGTAGTCGAAAAGGCTATCGCCGTTCGACTAGAGAAGCAGGCAGAAGAACTGCAACTTCTCCCCCCAGAGCAATTCGGCTTCAGATCCTCCCACAACACGGAACTCCAAGCGCTACGACTGACGGAAAACATCACCAGCGGCTTCAATCTCCAGGAGGCAACCGGTCTCGTCCTGCTGGACGTGGAACGAGCCTTCGACCGAGTTTGGCACGATGGACTCATCGCCAAAATGGAAGCCGCCGGAATCGATGCGAACATGTGCCAACTGATCCAGAGCTATCTAACACAAAGATGGTTCACGGTGAAGATTGGTACATGCCATTCAACAAGACGTCAGCTGGAAGCAGGCGTGCCCCAGGGGTCAGCCTTAGCCCCCCTGCTCTACAACATCTATACTTACGATGTGCCGAAGACAGCTGACACAATGCTGGCCCTATATGCAGACGACACTGCTATAGCCGCCAAGCATAGACGACCCGAGATCATCCGTAGGAGACTACAGGGTGAACTGGACCAAATTCAGGACTGGTGCGTGAAATGGAAAATCCGCATCAACGTCCAGAAGACGCAGGCAATCTTCATTCAACGAAGAAGGATTGCAAGACCTCTCGAAGCATCCATCTTCGATGAAGATATCCAGTGGAGCGACAATGTCAAATATCTGGGGATCGTTTTTGACAAGTCCCTCACCTGGAAAGCGCACATAGAAGCTGTCATCGCAAAAACCAGAGCAGCCATGGCTCAACTCTATCCATTACTGGGTAGACACAGCCAGATGCCGCTAGCGACCAAGCTACGGCTGATCAAGGCCATCGCCAGACCTCAGCTCGCTTACGCCTCCGCGGTCTGGGGGTACGCTGCCCCCAGCTACCGCAAGCGACTTGCTGCTCTAGAGATGAAGCTACTCCGGATCGCCACCAATGCACCTTCCTACGTAAGGAACTCAACCTTGCGTAGAGACCTGCATTGGGATACCATCCACGAGTACATGAGGAAAAAAGCGGAGAAGACCTTCGAGAAAGCTCAGGACCACCCGAACGAGCAGCTACGATTCCTCATGGACTACGATCCGGACGAGAGGTCTCGCAACCGCAGAACCAGGTACCCCAGACCAAGGTCCCAGTTGGCACCCGCTAACTGGAACCTTGACTAGGAGACTAGGAGAATTTGCGGCTGCTCCCCCCCCCCCCCCCCCCCACGGCGTGGATGCAGAGGACCAGGAACCACCGGGACCAGGACCACCGGACCAGGACCAACCAGGACCCGCCACGACCAGGACCCACCAGGACCAGGACCCTTCAGGACCAGGACCAGGAACAACATATTGGTAAGATGACTTGAAACTCTTGATTTCTCGAAAACAAGAGTTTCAAGAGAAACTAGCAGACCCTCTATCGATGATCGCTTAACGACATCGATAGAATGTGCGAGGTAAAGGGAACCAACCCGGCGTTCCCAGAGACTGAAACACATGAGGAGACGTTGTAGCAGACCGCAGGTCACGCACAACACATGGCCTACCGAGACGCTGATGAGTCGGGCCACGCGGAGGTTTAGGGTTTAGTGGGTATTAGGTGATCTCTTCAAGACCCTGGAGCCCCACACACGTCGTAGCTCGTGCTATGGTATGGTGCGTAAATGCATTCCCCCCTCGTTAAAAAAAAAAAAAAAAAAAAAAAAAAAAAAAAAAAGTCGTTCCGTTAGTCGAGCGTTGGTGTCGATTATACTCAGCATCATCTCACAATAAAATGCCACCCAAAACTAGCGGTAAGGCTGCCAAAAAAGCGGGCAAGGCGCAGAAGAATATCTCAAAATCTGACAAGAAAAAGAAGCGCAGGAGGAAGGAAAGTTACGCAATTTACATCTACAAAGTACTGAAGCAGGTACATCCCGATACGGGTATATCCAGCAAAGCGATGAGCATCATGAACAGCTTCGTCAACGATATTTTCGAACGTATCGCTGCGGAAGCTTCCAGATTGGCACATTACAACAAACGTGCCACGATAACTAGCAGAGAAATTCAGACAGCCGTACGACTATTGCTACCGGGAGAATTGGCCAAGCACGCAGTCAGCGAAGGTACCAAAGCCGTCACCAAGTACACCAGTTCAAAATAATATAGACGTTGTATTCGCTTCGACGGTTATACGGTTCGAAAAATAAGAACAAAAAAAAAACGGTTCTTTTCAGAACCACTATGTTATGATAAAATGCAAAATGATAATTAGCTGTGGTCGTTATTTTAATCTTTTCATCTATCTCTCTCTCTCTCTCTCTCTCTCTCTCTCTCTCTCTCTCTCTATATATATATATATATATATATATATATATATATATATATATATATATATATATATATATATATATATATATGTATAGAAGAAGTCCGTAATATCTGGAAGATGTCACCTGTATCACTGCACTGGGAAACAGTACCGTGATCGTAGGTGATCTAAACGCGAAGTCCACCATTTGGGGCTCAAGAAACAGAAACAGTCACGGCGCTGTTCTGGAAAGACTAATGGATGAACCTGGATATACCATGATAGGTCCGGACGAACCTACAATATACCCCAGCAACGGAGGTAGACCAGACGTCATAGATATGGCGATTCTGAAGGAAATCGACATGCGCACCACCATCGGCGCCATGCAAGAGGGAAGCTCAGACCACAACCCCATCTTTCTCTGTACGGGAGATGGGATAACACCTGTGGAACAAAGAACAGTGAAGAGAGTGAATTGGCAGCGGTTTAGAACCAGACTGCACTATTCACAAGGACCACTACTACAGATCGAAAGCCCCGAAAGCATAGAAGAAGCGGTCACGGACCTAGAAAGGAAGATTAAGGCTGCGTTAGAAGCCGCAACCACCGTGGAAGACATAACGCAACCAAACAGGTTCAGGGACCTACCTGACGAGGTAAATCGCAAGATCACCGAAAGAAACAGAGCCCGAAGAGTAGCCAGGAGACCAGAAGCCCCACTGACATCATGGTGGCAAACAGACTTATGAGACAGGCACGAGACGCCTTGAAGCAGCACCATCAGAGCACCTGGGATAAGAAACTCGACGAACTATCTCCAGCTGACCCAGGAATGTGGAACTTGGCTAAAATCCTCAGAAATAGAAGACAGCCCATCCCCCCAATACACAGCGAACAGGGATGGTGTACACAACCGAAGAGAAGGCGGAAGCTTTTGCTGACAACCTTCAGAGACAGTGTACTCTCAATACTCACCCCGATGAAGACGAAGACTTCATCGACGAGGTGATGAGAAGATCGAGGAGAGCTGTCAGAGGAGGAAGAGCCATCGAAGACATGCCCTCTCCAGGCGAGGTAAGGGAAATCATCGAAAGACTCAAGGTGAAGAAGGCACCGGGTGTAGACGATATTGGGAACAGAGTCCTGAAGAGACTCCCGAGGAAAGCGATAATGGCAATTACCAACATCGTCAACGCCATACTGAGACACCGGTACTTTCCAGATCACTGGAAAGTAGCCGAGGTGATCAACATTCCTAAACCTGGGAAAGACCCAAGGTTCCCCCAAAACTACAGACCCATAAGCCTGTTGACGGCACTGAGCAAGATTGCGGAAAGGGTAATCGAACGAAGACTGAAGAACGAAACCGAAGAACTCCGAGTAGTTCCAGACGAACAGTTCGGATTCCGATGCGGGCATTCAGCAGAGCACCAGGTCCTAAGGCTGGTCGAGATGGCAACGAAATCGTTCCAGACTCGGCGGGCCGTGGAGCTGTGTTCATGGATGCCGCAAAGGCGTTCGACACTGTTTGGCATGACGGACTGATCTACAAGATGGTAGACCACGGATACTCAAAGGGGATGATCCAACTGGTGAAGTCCTACTTGAAGCACCGAAATTTCCGAATTAGGATCGGTAAAACAACCTCGACGACGAGGACTGTGGAGGCAGGAGTACGCAGGGAGCGGTTCTACCACCCTGCTGTATCCAATCTACAGCTCAGACATCCCGAAGACTCCTCAAACGCAACTGTATGTGTATGCGGACGATACAGCATATGCGGCAGAAAGTACGAGACCCCGCATGGTACGGAATATCTGCAACGAGCGACCACCAAACCTAGAGGAATGGTGCATCAAGTGGAAAGATCCGCCTCAACCGCCGAGAGACCGAAGCGGGTACTGTTCCGAAGAAATCGAAGATTACCTCAGACAACAAATAAGATGTACGACCACCAGAATGGAGAGAGGCTGAGAAGAGATGAAGAGGTGAGGTCGACTGGAAAGACTCCAGCACCTACCTTGGAGTCAAGATGGACCAGACAATCACTTGGAAGAACCATGTCGAAGAACCGGGTGCAGAAAGTGAAGATGGCACGCTCCAAACTAAGACCCTTATACGGGCAGAAGAAGCAAAGTTGTCACTAAAGAATAAGACCATCATGATTCAGATGGTTGCTGCTACAAATCATGACTTACGCAGCAGTAGCTTGGGGCTACGTTTCCAAAACGATGAAGAAGAGGCTCCAAGCTCAACAAAACATGGCACTCCGTGAAGCGGTGGACGCACCGTGGTATGTACCTAACAGAGTGCTATATGACGAACTACGACAGGTACCGGTCGTAATCCAGATGAGAGAGAGGGCCAGAAAGTTCTTTGAAAAGAAATGTGCTGATTGAAGCCGCCTTGGATTACGACCCAAGAACAATAAGGCGTCATAAAAGACCGAAAAGCCAGCTGCAACAAGAAGATATTTGGCCCTAGCAGCTGATCAGGCCAAAGAAAAGGGGAGAAGACCGACAATAGTTGTACACCCAAGAGGGGAAAGAACAGCCCGTGTACAACGGGTGGACAAAAAGAAGCCTGTCGATTGAGGTGGCCAGAGTCAAGCACGGACTCGGGGCTAACCTCAGGAGACGAATGACTTACAAATATGACTGACTGACGACGACTGACTGACTCCAGTCGACGAGGAAAGAGCGAAGGCTCACCAACCTTTAGGAGGGGCTTAGGTCGAAAGCCCCCAGCGCAGGACCCCCAAGAAAAGAGGCCGGCCATAAAGTCGAGAACCGACAGTTGGAAGAAACGTCCACCACGCGCTTCCGCGACGCGTGCGCGATCGAGTCAAATTTCGGGAAAAAGGGGCAAAATTGGGGAAGGGGGGATAGCTCGTTCGGCAGCACACACTCGGGGAATGCGCAAGCGGCCTGAACCACGCAGCGCCACTCCAGGCCTTTGGGCGGGAGTGGGGGGAGGAGCTGATTGCTCTTCCCCCCACTCCTCAAGGGTTTGAGGTTGCCTGGAACAGGGGTGGTGGAGGGACCGCACAGGGTAGGAGGGTGTGTGTGTGTGTGTGAAGACCGTAGCAGAAGAAGAAGAAGAAGACGAAGACCGTTTTGTAAAATAACA